CTGGATGGGATTTCGCCAGTTATATGGCAGGCATCATTAGAGTTCATCTAATTCTTACAAAATCGTCAAGCTCATAAAAGTTAAGGGTACTTAATGTCTTTATCTTCCTATATATACTCAAAACCAAAAGAGAATCGAAAATACACGAAATGATACTTAGATACATATTATGTTTTGGTTAATCCTTTTGATTTTAATTGAGGTACTCGGATTTTTGAATGTGTAATTCAAGTTACGAAACCACTAGTCATAACTCGGTAATTACATTGAAGCGTAACCCCATTCCTGGGCTTTTAATATTAGGCGACTAGGAGTGCGTAACCCAGAGTATACACCGTGTTGAAATTCAGAACTTAGAAGTCAAATTAACTGTCCCGCCAATGATTGCCCTAGCCTAATTCACACGCAGTAAGTACTTCTAATTATCTAGTTTGTTTCTTTGCTTGTTTCTATATTTTGCATAATTCATTTCCTATTCACCTTCCTTATTTTACATTTTTTTACTTCCTACTTTTCATCACATTTGTCATCCTTCTAACCTTCTTTTTTGTTGTGCTTTTGATTGTCACCCAGCTGGCCTGCAGCAACACTCTCGTCACTTGCCTACCTGAGCTATATTTACTTAAGCCGCGCCGGCAGATAATTTATTCCTCAAACACTGTCCTCGAGGAAAAAGCGCCTGATACAGCGGTCCTGGCCCGTCATTTTGACGGCTCTTATGCCTCTTGGAATTCATGTCCTCCTCCTGCCTACTATCATATAAACAGGAAGTTAATACTAGAGCCAAAGGTTACCGTCAATCTACGCATTATCCTCGTAGGAAACTCAACTACAGGGCTCACTATTCTCGAGGCTCTTGCTAACAGGTAATCTTAACTACCTGGGCCTTGAACATAGACAATAAGGCTGCAAAAAATTTTTAAAGGTACCAATTTTGTCGTATTGATGAGTTACAAACCATTTATTTTGATACATTCCATAAAGAAACCTTTTTGATATAAGGCACCTACATGTCTAATCGGCTCTTCTATGAACATACACTTATTACTGGAAAGTTAGTTATCTTAGGTTGCCTAAGTTAAAACTTTTCTACGAGATTTTGCTGAATTGTTTTGTCCTAAATCATATCCCATATGAGATAACACTTGAAAAACTACAAATATCTATCTAAATGATCAGCATGGGATCGTGCCAGGGCATTATGATACGTGAAACAAATCGGCTAAATTCTACAAATTTCTAAAAGTCTTTAAGTAAACTTTCTTAAGTTTTTGCTTCGAAAACATTAATTGTTTATATTAGAAGCAAATTGGTTTTATTTTGTGAATGCATCGTTTTAATGAATACGATTACCAATTGTGAAACCTCCTCTAGTCTACCTTGTGCATTTGCAGTGATTTTCTTAAGTTATCGAATAGCTATTAAATGAGTCGGGAATCTGCGAAGACTTCCAAACCTACTAATCATATAGCGTCCCAAACATACGCAATTGAGGAATATCGTAAGGGCGAAATGAGAGTTGGTGAATAGCACATGGATATAGAGAGATGAATCCCAAAATCGTGGTTTGACATGCATGTCAAATATTCGTCGCGTCAAAAAGACTATGCTAGGTGTATAGTAATCCAAAATACATAATATTTAATCCCTAGTTCTAAAATTATGATTAAAATTTACTGCAATCCGTATTTATATCAAAATAAGAAATTGGGAGAGGCACAACCTGCTTCATCGGGATAAAATCTTATTAAGAGATTTTAAGAGTGGGGTGTATAGCATCTACCAAATCCACTTTCCTCAGACAACCTAACTGAGAATAGTAATATATTCTACTTGCTGAATAAATCTATATGCGAAGAAAAGTTGGATTTCACGGAACTTCTTGTTCCATAATTGTTGGGCCTACTTCCATTTAGAGTGAAAGTGTTGGGTGAAGAGATTCGAAGGTCGATTCCACAAGAAGAAGACGGCGGATTCCTCTTGACCAACTGTCGATTGGCTTTACTAGAAGATTCATACTGACGCTATTTCCAGATGATCTCCTTCGATTACGGTGAAAAGGTAATAAGCTTTCGTCCGTCACATGGCGAACATCATCAGACTTCCTGTGCCCTAGTCTCTTGTGTGCCAACCCACAAATGTTGTAGTACTGCTTGCTTTAATTAGGTTCAATGTTAAACAACTCCCACCAACAGAATATGATATAGGAGAGGCCTGACCGTCCTTGAAACTCACTTATGCCCTGTGACT